CAAGTTAACCAAAGTAAAATGATCACCCCCTGCCTACCTTTCTGCTTGCTTGCTTGCTTGTTGTCTGATGGTATTGTAAATTCGTAGGAGTTTGCTTTTTGGTAGAGCTATATAAGAGAAAGAGAGAAAGATAGAGTAATGCAAAGGGTGGCTGGCTAACGTGGGTATAGAGAAGTTCTTTGTTCGAAGAGTGGCCGTTCGGTTTTCTCTGGCTCGCGTTCTCCTTCGGCTACGAGACAAAAACGAGTCTAGTTTCTTAGCAGCAACAACGGCCGTTTCTCGCCCAGCACCGACGACTACGACGACGACGACGAGGACGACGTCGACGTCGTCGTCGTCGTCGGCGACGCCAGGGCAACGGCAACCGACGGCGGTTAGTATTTCGCTTTTTGCCGGCATTGTAATCAAGGAAGGGTTAGGTGAGTTTTTGCCACCCTACCTCTCTCTCCCACCGCCCGGACAAAACACCGGGCAGATGGACTGAGTCGCCGCTCCCACCCCGGCCCTACCCCCCTTCCTACCTACCCCACCATCACCACCACCACCACCACCACCTTCTCTTTCTCTTTCTCTTTCTCTTTCCTCTTCTTTTTCCTGTCCATCCATCCCTCTCTCTCACGGTCAGCGGTCTTTTTTATCTCTCCGTTTCTCTTCTCTCCACCACCACCACCATCACCACCACCATTACCACCACCACCACTATCACCACCACCCATATTCTGCAGCCCTCCGATCGAGCGCCCATCGTTCTCCGTACTCTCTCTCTCTCTTTCTCTCTTTCTCTATTTTTCTCTCTTCACCCTTCTTCGAGAGAAAGGGAGAAAAAAATCAAAGAGAAAACACCACCACTTTTAACCGAGAAAACGAGTTTACCAAAATTATTATTTAGTGAAATTCTTTACGATTTTAAGTTTAATAAGGAGAAGGGGGGAGGTTTGTTTAATATAATATTTAAGCTTGCGTCTCGTTTTTCTTATCTTTTACGGCTATTATTATAGATTATATTTCGATTTTATTAAATGAGATGTGATCATCTTTTTTCTAGCTTATCAGTTTTATTTAAAATATATTTATATATATGTATGTATGTATATTTTGTTTGGTATTATTATTATTTCAGTTAATTCCCGTTCGTTAAATAACTTTGTTATAAATGATGTAAAAGCTACATTAACCTACGCTACTTTTTTAAAGTACACTACTACCTTTCTTCTTCATTTTATTTATCTCGTTTTATTCGTGTGTATGTGTGTGAGTGTGTGTATGTCCCAGATATAAATAAACCCGTAATTTTACTCGTTATTTTTATGTCTCCCCCCCACACTCATACGTTATTGTTAAATTTCGTTGTGAAAACACAAAAAAAAAAAAAACCCTCATCCATCGATTCATATTCGTATTAAAATAATTCGTGAATAAAAAAGGTAGAAGATATTATACTCCTGAAAGAATAAGAATAAGAAACCGAAAAAAAGGAAAAAAGAAAAAAAAAATGTCGTCTTCCATTGGAAAAGAGCAGACGTTCGTCGAGATTGGTCCTTTACCCTGTGCCAGGATCTTCAGGGGTACGGCCCACATCATCCAGTTACCCCTCCACAAAAATTCTACCCCTACCTTTTACCTTTCTCTCTCTACCCTCGCGAACCACCCCGCTCTCTAACCTTTTTTCGAATACCTGTCCCTTCCCCCCCCGGCCCCGTACTAC